ACGCTGTTTCATGTACTTTCCTGGGGCAGTTCCAGAGATTTTTCTTGCTCAACGTCAAGGATAGACTCGCCTTGCTTGAGGTGGATGAAATGTGTTCAGGCCACTTTAATTTACTGTTAACAGTAATTCCTAGGTACGATGCAGAGTCTACTTCAAGTTTGGACCACAGAAAAATAATGTCCATTGAGGAGGACTTTGCTCATTTGAAATGCAGATGATGTTGCACTTTGAGGGATTAAATTGCATCTGCCACTCCTGTTGCCAAATTTCTAGTTTATTGAGATCGTCTTAAAGATTATGGCAATCTGAGTCTTCCACCACCAATCCGTACAAAAGAGTGTCATCAGCGAACAGCTTGACTGTAGAGGTTAGAGATTTGGCAGGTCATTAATGTATGTTAGGAACAACAACAGGCCTAGTACTGACCCTTGTGGTACACCCAAGGTCACTGGGGAAGAGGGAGATGTTGCACCCTCACAGATGACGGTTTGGACTCACTTGGTGAGAAGGGATTCCATCCAAGACAAAAGGTTTCCATAGATGCCGTAATGCTCCAGTTTCATGAGTGAGCGTTGATGTGGGACTTTATCAAAGGCTTTGGAAAAGTCTAACAGCAGCATGAATAGATTTGTTTTGTTGTACTGGAACTGGCAATATCATGAATAGTAAGTATTAGGTGAAGTTCTGTGGATCTTTTTTATCTGAAGCCATGCTGACAGCCTGTTAGCACCTTATAATGTTCAAAATGTTTCATTACATGCAGGTTAGAGATATAGGTCTGTAGTTGGAAGGATCAGACTTTTTCCCTTTTTTAAAGACACCACATACATTTGCCAATTTCCATCTACTGGGTACAGTTCCACTTTTGATAGAGTCTTGGAAGATATTTGCTGGATAGGAGCAATCTCAGCTGCATGTTCTTTTAGAAACCACGGTGAGATGGCATCAAGTCCAGAAGCTTTATTAGTCTTCAACAGCGATAACTGCTTTGCAACTCCATTAGTTGTGATAGACAGACTGTCAATGGTTGGTATTCTGTTGTATCCAATATCAGATGTTTGAGAAGTCTTCTTGAGTAAAGACATTTGAGAATTGATTATTTAGTATTTCAGCATTTGATTTGCCATCACTAATAATGGAGCCATTTATTTCGAAATCTGCAATCCCAGGCTCTTCTTTTTTCAGTTGTTTAATGTACGACCAGAATCACTTAGGGTTTTCTTCAATAGCTTTGCCTAGATAGTCAGAAATATATGCATTTCTTGCTTCTTTAAGCCTTTTATGCATTAGTGTTCTGGCTATATGGAATGCCTTCCAATAATTTTGTTTTCCAGAAGATTTTGCTTTGTTGTAGAGCCTTTGTTTATGCCTGGCTAGACATTTCAAACAATGATTGAACCATGGTAGATTATAATCAGAACTAGTCCACTTTGAGGGGATGCAAGAATCCATTATACGGTGGATGTTATCTTTGAGGCAGCTCCATTTTTCGTCGATTAAGTTAAAGCCCCTTGTATCTATATGAAGTGAATGAAGTAATAGTTTTGTAAGTTCTTCTTTATTGGAAGCAGAGTCGGCTTTTTTTTCTAATCAGTATTTTACATTTGACATTTTTCTCTCTTCGGGAAGAAGTGTTCACAGTGAATAACACAATGTCATGATCACCAATACCACGAACGAGGCCGATACTGGAATTATTGGAGAGAATTAGGTTTAAGGTGTTTTGTGTATAACTATCCCTTCTAGTTGGTTTTTGACATGTTGCCTCAGATCATGATCATCAGTTATTTCTAACAGTCTATCAGAGGGAGGAGATTGGCTTGAATATTCAGTATCCCAGCTAATATTAGAGCATTAAAATCACCAGAAACAATGTTGTTATTGTTATGCACGCTGCTCCCAAGTTTTAACAGTGATGTATCTAGCTCATCAAGACTTCTAACGTTGGAAGAATTTGGTCGATAATATGATCCAAATAGCAGTGATTTTGTTTTCTGGTTTGCTAGCTGACATGGGGTCCAAATAATTTTCCAGTCAGTGTCCAGGTCGGAACGATGTGTTATTATAGTATCGTTTTTCACTGCCTGGAAAACGCCTCCGCTGTGGCAGTCATCAGGATGGTCTTTTCTAAATATTTTGTAGCCATTTGGAAATATTTTGTTACTTTCAGTGTTTGAGTTTAACCAGGTTTCAGTATCAAAGATGATATTGGGTTTATGTTGATCCATTACAGCAGCAATGTCTGCTATTTTGTTTTTAGCGCTTCGACATTTCATTGTCATGCAGGTTAGTTTCCTTCTATTGTTCTTTGGCACGTCCTTTAAACTTTTCTATTGTTGTTTTGCTTGGAAGGTTCAGGTTTATTGGAGTTTGATGGTAATATTCCAGAACTGAATAAAGGCTCAAAATAATTTAAAGAACTTGGTAAAACCACAGAATTTGAAGAGTATGGCTGTGAGTTTGATCTACCACACAATGGACACAACCATGAACAAAATGAATGAGATAGAATGTCAGTGTAAATAGATAGTAACTTGCAACACCTAGCATGGAACCACGAGTCACATACATTGCATTGATTTGTTCCTTGGTGTGGCTTTGCAGGCTTGGAACAAATGCTACAAGGATGTTTGGCAAACCAGCAAATCTATATTTGTGGAAGTTTTTATTAAAGGATATATTTCCTTTCAATTCGGAATGATGACAAATATTGATAACAAGTAGAATAAAGAAAAACTTAGCAAGCTAATTAATTGAATGAGTTAAGAAAAATGAGATATGATTAAATTCAATGTTAACTAAATTACATGCAATCCATTAATTGATTAATTGATAGAGTAGTTTAATAGATGAAAAAGGGTAAAAAGGTTTTTCGGAGAATACCTCAAAGCAAGTACAACACAGGGAGTTTGGGTTTTTTAGAAATATATTGCTGACTTTTGATCAGACTGAGTTTGTTTATTTTCAGTAAGACTGAACTGTACAATGACAATGAAGTAATTGATTACGTGGTTTTGTGATGTTATGTAAATAAGGAGAGGGTGTGGTTCCAAATAGTACATGAGAAAATCTGTGGTGATTTTGGATCATGTGGATTTGTTAACATATTTTAGCTAAAGAAACCTTTTTGGGTCTCTTTCTTCAAGAATGAGTTTGATCTGGAGAAAGACTTTTTCAATGTCTGTGGAGACCACTACTTTTTGTTTTCCAAAGTTTAGTAACACTGTTTCCAACTGTTGCATCATATTTGGGCCGGTACAAAGACAGTCATTTAGGGAGAATGCTGTTGTTGAAATTATTGCTGATACATCATAGGAGATTGTCATGGCTGTGGTAGAGCTATCTTTAAAGACTGGAAAATGTGGTATGTAGTGGATGACGCCTTGATGTATGTTGAGATTGTGGACAAGTTCTATAAATTCGTGTTTATGTTGGTTGAGTAGTTGGTTATGGTATTTTTTGATGAGTTCTTGACCCTTTTTATGAAGAGTACGTAGAAAGTTGTTCATAAAGTTGTTTAATCGTCCCCGATTAGAAGGCCAATTGAGGCCAGCTAGAAAAGAAGAGTTTGACACATTCATAAAGTTGATTTTTTGAATCGTTCTTTTGCCGATGTTATATTTTTTGATAGGTTATGTTTGATGTCCCCCATGGGAGTCTTACATTGTATCTGTTTAAATCTTAATTGAATATGAAGTTTTCTTCCAAGTGTTTGTGGACTACAGTTGTGTTGCCTTGATCTAATTCTTCAGGAACTTTGCTTACTTCCCAGAACCTCTTGAGTGTTTTGCTTAGATGGTTGTCAATTGTTTGCACTGCATTCACATTTGCGCATACTGTGCTGAATGTTTTTTCCTTTATTATATTGGGTGTTGGTCCTGAAAGGAGCTATCCAAATTTGCTCTCTCTTGCCATCCATCGTTTGTCTTTGGATTTCTACGTGTTTCCTAGTATGACTTGAGCATAGTGGTAATTTCCTATGAGAATGTCTATGATGTGACTTAGTTTCTCTTCAACAGAATCAGCAGTGTTCAGGGCCTTAAATGTTGGGGGGGGGGGGACCTCAGTGAGTTGTATGGTATTTGAAAGTGCGGAGCAGATGATCGGCGTGACTAAAGCCAACATCTTAATGTTCTTGTTTACTCTGGTTAAGGCGAATTTTACGACCTTGTACATCTTTGTATTACTTTTAGTGGTTCCAAAAGTGGTTTATGTCTATTGTCTCATTCTTGATGGGTTGTAGTTGCAGTTTATTTCTAAAGTCTTGTGTAATACATATTTTCTGTGATCCTGTATCGATGACGATGCGTGCTTGAGGTCGTGTTGATGGGCCGCTTGCTGTAACGATAGCAGTTTGCAGTAGCACGCTTGTGCAAGTGGTAACCGTAGCCACTAGGGTTTTTGATGAGGGGCTAACGTCTTGATTTTTTTTTTGTATGGAGTTTTCTTGTTTTTTTTTGGCTGGTTTTTTGTTGAATCTTAACATAGCTCGCTTGGTTCATAAATTGATGTGTGGTATTTTGGTGTGCAATTGACGCATCTTCCTCTGGAGTGGCATTGGTGTTCAGTATGGCCTGATCTGAGGCAATACGAAGATCTCTTTTTTTTATTGAGTATCATTTTTCTCGGTTTTGTTGTTTTAACCCTTTACCCCCCAAAGGGGACTAATGAGACGCATGACTCCTCTTCCCCAAGGGCCACTAGCCAAATTGAGAATGATTTAAGGTGGCTTCACATAAGCCTCTCAAAGGGGAAAACTAAGCATTGCACAACAACACAATACAAAGAAACTTTGTTGGAAATTGAATAACCTTTTTATTTGTCTAATGTTATCTTAAAAATTTACATTACTCACCTAATAAATACAAATCAAAAATATGTGAACTGAGTCTTTCATTCTTGAGCCAATGTTCAGTTCTTCTAAACAATAACAGCACTATATTTATGGTGATAAAAAGCCTTAGGGCATGTTTACATGGGAAGAGGGTGCCCCTAGGGGATAGTGTTACCCTACTTGGTAGGGTTGAAGATACCGAGCGTTTTCATGGTAATTTGAAACCCTAGGGGCGAGGGCTGACACTATAGCCAGGTCACCCAGCAAGGAAAACAACCAAAATGACGGCGGGAGATAAAGTTTTGGCGGTTAATTCGATTCTTACGGCACTCGCTTCTTTAGTTCCTTCTTTTCAACTTTGTGCTTTGTTGTTGATATCTCTAATGGCTGAAAGACAGCGTTTACAACTGGCTAGCCAGCACATTTCAGCCCAATATAACATTGCTATGAATCACCTCCGTAACGTCAAGAGACAAGTTTGTCGTAAAGGCAGGATTTGGCGCATACCCGGCCGTACTGAACAGTGGTGGCTCAATTTACAACATGGGATTTTGCCAGAAAGTGAGTGGAAAACGAATTTGAGGATGGATAGAATTGTTTTTATGAAACTAGTTGATGAGCTGTATCCTTATTTACGTCCTGGACGTAGCCCGCGCGGCGATGATGTTCTTTCTGTTGAAAAGCAAATCGGAATGACACTATACTATTTGAAAGATCAGGGATCATTGTACATGACTGCTAATTCGTTTGGTGTTTCGAAAAGTACAGCTTCTGTGGTCATTAGAAAGGTATGCGATGTGATTACTGCCACTAGGGGGCCAAAATATATCAAACTTCCCAGCAATGTGAAAGAAATGGCTACACTTGTCAAGGGAATAGAAGACAAATATGGATTTCCACAGGCTTTTGGCTGCATTGATGGCACCCATATTGAAATTCAGCAACTTACAGAAAACCCACATGATTACTATAGCTACAAACAGAAGTATACAATTAATACTCAGGCTGTTTGTGATTGGAATGGGAGATTTCTTGATGTTGAAGTCAAATGGCCTGGAAGTGTACAAGACGGGAGAGTGTTTAGTAACTCCAGAATAAACAGGCTCTTAAGAGAAGAAAAGCTTCCCATGATGTACAAGCAAATTCTCCCTGGTTATGACAAAGTGCCTGCAACATTGATTGGGGACCCTGCCTATCCATTGCTGCCCTACTGTATGAAGGAGTATGCAAGCCCAAGAAGTAATGAAGAGGTAATTTTCAACAACATGCTCCGTGTAGCAAGGAACCCCATTGAGTGTGCCTTTGGGGGGCTAAAGGCCAGGTGGCGAATTTTAAACAAACGTCTTGACTCAGGCTTGGAATTTGTCCCTCCACTTATCTACACATGTTTTGTTCTTCACAATTTTTGTGGAGTCAATAACCAACAGATAGACGAGGATATTGTGTCACAACAAATAGCTCTAGAGAGGTTACAAGCAAACAATAACCCTGATTGATTGTACTCATTCAATACTGCAGAAGGAACAGGCACTAGAAACACTATCACATATTATTACAGAGAACATATCCCATATTGACTGTACAGTACGAATGGCACAACAACATCATTGGCTTTCCTGCAAGCAGGATTGCAATTTGTAAACTTGAAACATGGAAAAACTTGATATGTTTAGTTAATAAGCAGCAGTACGTAACCAATTGAAAGTGTAATTATTTGTGTAAATATGCAAATTTTTTAGCTACAATGACTTTATGTTTGGAGACACACAAATGTGTGTGAGCTAGCTTGATTTTCAGACAGCATTATTATCACACAGACAACAGAACAATGTCTATCTTGATAACTGGAGCTTTTAATGCTTATAAACAGACAATTTGTTGTGTTAAATAACAATATCAATAAGTACCAACAATTCATGGGTAACTCATGAAACAAAAATCACTGGAACTGTATTGAACAATGACAATCTCAACATCAATGAACAGTAACTAACATTTTGTTGTCTTTTCAGTTATAAAAAACAACTGTATAAATGTTTCAATAAACTAATGACTAAACCTGTAATATCTGTATTCTATATGCATTCAGTCAATGTATATCCCATGTAAGGACATCAAGAATAATCACATTAGCAAAAACAGCAATAGCAAGTCTCAAACTTGAAAAACATATGAGATAATAGCTTTTTAATTGCAAATGAAAATTCTTCTAAGAAAAGCCAAAATTTGTTTATGCAAAATAATTTGAAAGCTCCATGTCTCTTCAACTGAACTACCAAATTGAAAATATTTCACTTGTTAAAACAAAACGTTGTGCTTAATTGCTTCATTTTTTTGCAACTGATGATACTGAGTTATAACGGTTTTCGATGGCTCCTTTATCCAATAGTAAGACAAAGTCAAAAAAGAGGCATTGAAATATTCTAATATACTGAACTAGTGATTTGAGAATAGTTCTATATCAACTATTTCAGTTTCATGAAAACACCTGAACTATTTTATAAATCATTTTCAGAACAGAATGCATAATTGTAGCTCCAAATATGATAGCCTTTGTACTATTGATTGTTAGTACCATAGTGATTAGGATAACCCATATATTGTCCACAAGGGTAGTACGGCTGAGGAGGAGGAGAAAGAGGTGGAGTTGGGGGCTGGTTTTGGGCTAGGGCTGCTGCAAGCATTTGCATACCTGCATCAATTCCATCACCAAGAGAACTGATGCAGTTTGTCATCTTTGTTATTGACTCCTCTAAAGTTTTGTTTGATTTTTCAAAGATCTCCAGCATGTTTTTTTTTCATCTGCATGTCTTCCTCAGCATTGTTCATCAATATTTGATCCCTTTGTACTGTGATAATTTTTTCTCCATATGTTTTCTCTTGTTATCTACAAGTTTTGGTATACTGGAATGTGGAACTGACATTGGTGTTTCAGTGCAATAAGAATCACCAGTGGCACTGCTGTGTGGAGAATCTATAAACAAAACAGTTAATAAAAGCAAAAAAATAATTATTACCCTGTATTAACCATATATTACAAGATCGAATACACAACTGCTCCTCTGAAGATTCTGTATGAATTGCCCTTTTCAATTAACTACAAAAATTTCTCTTTCTTAGAAATTGAAATTATAATAAGTGTGACAAAACTAAAAAAAAAAAAAGAATTTTACTATAAATGCAACAACATGTCTGTAACATTGTGAGGTTTTGTTGTCCCCATTCACAAGAAAATAAATTAATGTGGACAGATATAGACCTACTGGAGAAGAAATTTTGTCTTTTCTACTAGAAATCTACATGCTATTGTTATGTTATTTGATAAACTTCATATCATATATGACAATCAGAGGCTGAATTTGTAATGATAAATCCCCTCATAGGTTAAAATGCAGTTTTTCCCACAGAGTGTTAAAATATCAAAAGAAAAACTTATAGTAAATAACATGTCAATAGTTATTGTATTCATCATAATACCTGCAGAGGACAAACTGTCGTCATAGCTCCTGGGTGAATCAGTTTCGTTGTCATTTTCATGAAGCCCCAAAATTGAATCTCCATCGATTCCAAATGACAAAGAAGTAGTTGCTGGCGAACCTCCCCAGATTTCTGCTAAAAGATCATAGTTCTCTTGGACAACATGGCTACTTCCACTTCTTGAACCTTTGCTGACAGCAGCTCGATAATCTTGCCTTAAGGCCTTGATTTTCTCCTTTACCCTACTGTACCCAGATTTGATTAACAACTTTTCGGCGTTTGTTTTCTTTGCAAAGGTCAGGTAAGTATCTTTATCCATGTCTTTTAATTCTACCTCCGATTCCATTACTTTTTCTGGGCCAAAGTCATCAACATAATGTCGCGCCATAGAATTTCTTATCTGTGTATACATCGAGGAAAGATCCGCTTCAAAGTCAAGTCCTTTGAAGTCGCAGCTAGACTTGTACTCTTTCATATAAGCCAGGACATCTTCTATCATTCTGGGTGACCATGTAAACTTCTTATTAACCTTTTGCTTTTTGGGGGCCTTTGCCTCGTGCGTTGACGCTTTGCGTTTGGTTTTGGATAGTTGCTGGACATTTTCGACGTTCTCCGCAGAATTCTCGGTTCCCAAAAGACTATCAACGTCTTCTCCATTATCTTCCGAGTCAGGAACGAGTTTTGTAAGCTGGTAACGGCGAAAATATTCACCTGGTTTGTAGCTAACACTAGCTGTGGAGGCTGTTCCACTGTCCGCCATTTTGTTTCGCTGAGATGCCTGCGCTGTGTGTCAGCGGTATGACTGGACATAGCTCTTCCCCTAGGGATAGCCCTAGGTTTTGCGTTTACATGGGCTAACGGCGGCAAAACTCGTCCCTACACAGTAGGGTCACCAGGGTAACCCTACCCCGAGGGTCATCCTACCCCACATGTAAACACGCAGTATAATTACAATAGAGAAGGCTCACCCTACTAGCTAGGGGTAACTCTACTATGTAGGGGCACCCTCACTCATGTAAACAGGCCCTTAGTCAAGGAAAAATAACCAAAAGGTGCATGTTTGGAATAGCTTTTCTTCACAAAGTTCATGGAAGCAATGGGCAAGAGTACCATATAACCCCATACACTAACTATGCATTCAATCTTTGTTCAATGAAAACAATAGCAATAACAATAGAACTCCGCAGAGACTAGTAGTCTTTGTTTTCAAAATTTGGATTTTTTTCCAAGTCTTTTTTGAAACAGGGTAAATTTGGCACGTTTTGGCTTTGCAAAACGAGAAATTTAAGGCATTTTCCAGACGTTTTTATTTTTGAAATATAATTTAATGTTCAGTTTCACTTTGAAAGCGTAAAATTGGCCGGAAAATAAAGTTAAGTCTACGGTCAGGCTTTGAAGTTTGTCAATGCAAAGTTGAAATAAATGTTGTGTCTTACCTGTTCTAGTGGTTTTGGTTGATTCTTTCATTATCCTTTTGTGTCCTAGTGATGATAATTGTTCGTGAAGGCCAGTGCATACAGCGACACAAAGAAACCTTTGTATCTAGTCTTTCTGGACTTCATAAAGTTGGGCGATATGTTTGATAATGCTTCCAAAGGGATCATTTCCGTAGTACTGACGCCACATATATTCTTGTAGGTAGCCATCGAAAAGTCCTTTGGATGTTCCTGTTTGGGGCAAACCTGGCTTGATTCCCCACCATGTATTTCCGATGCCCTGTGTGTGCGCACCGGTGAATTCTGGCGCATTGAAGCCATTCCATCGCAACCCTTTTTTAAACATCGCCACTCGTACCCGTCTCGTGATGAAGCACATCGCATCCAGCTAAGTTCATTGCTGCACCCAGCTTGAGGACATTTTAACGATGTCGCAAGCAGGTTGTGATCCTTACACCACTGTATGCACTGGTCGTGATTGGATAATATTCGAGAAAGTCGAATAAAATTCAGTCTCTCCATCTCCGCGTTGTTGTTGTTCTTCTTCTTTCTATCTTCTTCTTTCGTTGATGTTATTAGAAAGAGGTATGAATAAATTTTGTTTTCTATGTGGTATTTGGCCAATCGTAGAGAAGAAGAAATGCATTCTATAGTGCAAAGGGGACCTTTGTGCATTCTATCAATGCACATATTGTTATGAAAATTTTCTTACTGAAAGGTAAAAGAAAAAGTAGCTTTTGGAGATGAACTCCTAACTGGTTTGCGTAGCATAGTGGTAAGGCTATGGTTTGATCATGGTCTGATAATAACTCGTTGTCTTAGGAGCGATGGTTCAAGGCTCAGCAGGACTGCTAAGAAGGTAAAAAGGAAAGAAAAGAAAAAAAAAACCGAGGAAAAGGGAATTGGGAACAAAAGGGAGAAGGGAGAAGAACGTGAGAAAGGAATGGAGACGAAAAAGCTGCTTTCAATCAATTTCTCTTTTATTGAAGCAGTAAGTACTTATTAGTAATGTATTTATGCTAAACCCATGGGAATAAGTCATTGTCTTAAAAACAATGGGGTGCATACATAATTAATGTTGAATGCATGATTAATGTATGGGGTTATATGGTACTCTTTCCAAGCAATTTTTCTGTGCACGGAAAGCACAGCCATCTGGGAAAACTTCTATTCTCCTTTCTTGTGGGCTTTTACTTTGGCATTCTTTGTCGACAAACTTGCTGGCAAGCCGTGCCGATTTGATCGAATCGTGCCACACAGGTACGTTTGGTCTCCCAGTAGATCGCAAGGGAGAGGAATCGATGTGAAAAAATTATCACAGAACACATGGTGATATTTATTGAAAAATGGCTCTGTGAGTTCGCGAACAACATGAAAGCCGAGTCTGTGTTCTGTCGCGCCACCATCTTGTTTCCCCTTGTAGACTTCCCCGTGTAGACTTCCCCGTGTAGACTTACATACAAAGCCATTTGAAGAGTCAGCACACTCCCAAATTTTGATGCCACGTTTTACCGGTTTCTTGGAAAGATATTGCTTACTGTATTTATTCATCTACAAGCTGAGCGACTTTTTCACAAAATTTTACCAAAATCTTGAAAATTCAAGCTAGAGAAGGGTTCTTGGCTTATGGCCGAGTGTTTTTCCAAACATAATTTTTTCGAAACAGCAAATTCAAAGGAAACATAGATATATTCGTCTATAAGCCGAGATATTGCATGCAGAAGTAAATAACAAAACAAGTTGAAGTTGGTCATTGACTTTATTTATGAGGTTGCTTTCAAAGGAGCGGTTTGATGTTTTCGCCGCGTAGTAAACACGGCTTACTGTTTGTCCTCGGTGTCGGCGTGGAATTCGTCGTCCATCTCCTCCTCATCCGCTAGTTCTGCCATTCTTCCAAGTAGATTGCTTCATCTTCCATGCCGTCTAGAGTAATTAAAGATTCTGCAGGTTTTGAACGAGTGTATAGATCTTGCAAAAGTGTTTTGAGAACTTTGACACTGACCAATCAGAATTGCCCATTCCCACAATTGGTAAACAAACTCGTCACATGTTACGGTGTTGAAATTTGTGATCACGTAAAGAGAAAACTTACCTTGACTTCTCTGCTCAGTAAACCAGTAAAGTAATCTCTCTTCCACCCGCGGATATTTTGGAGTGTAACGGCCCATTGTTGTGCATTTCGCTGACATCTCGAGCTCTCCATTAAGAGATTTTCTTGACCTTTCCTCTAGCGACTCACTGATGACTTACTCTCTGGTTATCTCGGAATTGTTTTCGACGGCAATGCTGTATTGAAACTCATTTCTGTTTCGAAACTTTTGCATTCATTTCAGTTTGTTCGAGAATGGAATTCTCTGAATATGGTCTCGGCTTATAGGAGAATGGAATTCTCTGAATATGGTCTCGGCTTATAGCCAAGTATTTTCAATTTACATGTTTTAAGAACCTTTCCAATTAAAACAGGCCGAAGTTTAGGGTCTCGGCTTATAGACGAATAAATATGGTAACAACAACAACAACAACAACAGCATTTATTTAAACACGATAAAAAATTCAGCAAAAGCTGATGTGGTCATAGACCACTTTCATAAATGGCTGCCGGATTAATACTCTTTTGTTTAAATTTAAATTTGCCTAGGTGGCCTCGTTCTCCAGTACAAAATTCAAAAGAATACATTATCTCAAGCGAGGCCACCCAGGCAAATTTAAATGTAAACAAAAGAATATTAATCTGGCAGCCATTTATGAAAGTGGTCTATGTACGAACAATAAAACTAAATTCCTAACTAAATGCAATAAAACTAAATTCCTAACTAATTATAAGAAGACTAATGTAAGATTTCAACATATTTTCAACAATAAAAATTCTACAGTACATCATTATAATATACGTGGCTTAAAAATACACTTGAGTGACTTTTTAAAAGCGTCAACATCTTGAATTGACCTCATTTGATTTTCCAGAGCGTTCCGAGTAATTGACTTGTATGAGCATGATTTCTTGACCATATCGGTCTTAGGTCCAGGTAACTTAAATGTCATTTTCTTCCTGAAGTCATGGCTACTTACCTACTTTTCAAAGCGACGGTTCATAGGACATGGTAAAAGATGATAATAAGCCTGATGCGCTAAGATTAGTAATCGTTTCTCATACGTAATCTCTAAGGTATTCCATTTTACTGTGGCAAGAACTTCCTTGCTTGGAGTACACCAATCCAAGTTAAAATATTATTTTCGCCACTCTAACATGTATAGATTCTAAGCTTGAGAAAAATACTCGACCACAAGAGCCCCAAACTAACATACCATATGTCGCAGACGGCAGAATAACCTTAAAATAGAAATCAGTTCTTGCTTGTTTAGGCAGGAAATACAAGGATGTAAGTAAATTCAACTTCTGCGTATATGACTTAGCTAATTCCGATACATGATGATCCCATTTAAGAGCATTATCTATCTGAACACCTGGGCATCTTGTAGAAACAACCTCCTCGATAACATAATCACCCATCTTAATAGCTTGTTTTGGCCCAGTAAATTTTCCGTGTCCACCAAGCAATATATATTCCATCTTGGTGGGATGTGGAGTGAGACAGTTCTTGCAACACCATGTATATAGCCTTGCTAGTACTGTATTCAACTTGGAGGCCACCAGATCATAGGTCGGAGCCGAGACATAGACGGTGGTATCGTCTGCGTACATGTGAAGCTGTGGGTCACCATCTATTCCCTCAGTGATATTGGGCAGATCATTACAGAAGTGGAAAACAGGGTAGGGCCCAGCACCGACCCTTGAGGTACACTAAAAGTGACTGGCATAGCTTGAGATTGACACCCATTAATCGTCGTTACTTGCGTTCTTCCAGAGAGGTAATCCCTTATCCAACACCATAAGTCCCCAGCTACACCAAGACTTTGAAGTTTTCGGAGCAGAATGGAGTGGGGAATTGCGTCAAACGCCTTACGAAAGTCTACAAAAACCACGCCTACAACATGTTTCTTGTCGATCGCTTGTCTCCAGTCATCCGTTTTCTTCACTAACAACAGCTCGGTGGAATGACCTTTTTTATACGCCCACTGGTGAGGGTTCCCAAGTCCTTGTTCAGTGACATGCGTGGTAATAGTTGACGCCACCATAGACTCCATCAGTTTTCCTGGTACACTTAATAGCGAAATAGGCCTGTAATTTGCTTAACAGTTTCATCATCACTTGTATAGAAAGCTGAGATGTTCGCAGCCTTCCAAGTAACCGGTACACTGTTGCAGGTGGCGCTTATTTGAAAAACAGACAATAAAGATGGAATAATTGAGTCACCGGCAAACTTTAAAAGTTTTAGAGCAACTCTGTCGGGCCCAGAGGCTTTATCGGCTCTCAACTTA